TGGCTAATAAATCGAAAAATTTGTGAACTTCGGAATTTAACCTTCGCCAATTGCAATCGAAGCAAAGGATTATTCAGCAATCAATCCATAAAAATCGTTGTCTAGCGTTACCAAAGTTCTTAGAGATAGTCTATGATTCGCCTATTTTCTTGCCTTGCGACATAACGGATGTACGGAATTTTCAGCCAAAGTAGAGAAACTCATAACATCAAGCGATTAACCCCACCAAGACAAGATTACGTCATGAAACTTGATCTTGGAACGGTTTTTGCCTGCTAACACACTCAGGTGCAGGAACCCATATTTTTCGTGCGCTACTTCGTAGTTCAGCAACATACCCCGTGATTGTGTTGTTGAAGTAAGTGCCAGCGAATACCTGTCTCCAGAAAGTCATACCCCTCTAAGCAACAACAACAATACACTGCAAGTAGCAAAGCACCAATAAACTGTGGTCGGATTTAAAAGACTTAACAACAGGCTAGGCAATCTATGAGCAGTGTAACGTCAAAACTAGGTTTGAAGGAGTTTAAAGCATGCTTCGATATACAAACTCAAATTTTCGATGTTTCAGTCATAGTATATAAAGAAGCCGACTTCAGATATGTAGCAGATGTTCATATGTGCTATAAGTACCAAAATAATATGGAGCTTCATCACTACGTGCGTGTGCGCAGTCGACGACGGACCGCTGAGCCAACCACAAGAATTTTTCCTGGTTGATTATCGTTTTATGCTTGTGAGTCAAAGGCAGACAACGGCATCTGCAAAAAAATCTAGTTTGTCGATCAGGTGAACAATGGTAGCAGCCCCTAACACTGAATGGTGATGAACAGTCCAGGTTTTAAATAATAATTCACCAGAGCGTCGTTTTGCCTTTTCATGGCTCATGACAGCATTTAACAACTATCGAAGCGGCTAAGCGTAACAAGGTACAACGTGCTTCACCCTACAAAGCAATCTCTTACGTTCCCATGAGACTTAAACAGACCTTACAGACAGACATCTACGAACAACGAAAAGGTACTATAATGCTGCATGGCGTAAGTTTGCATACCATCATATGCTTTAGCATATTTTGTGATTTGTAAATTTGTGATCCTCATGATACGCTGTATAACAGAGCTTGAATGATACGATATATAGCTCTGTTAGCTGAATGATGTCATCCGTCGTCTGGTATCGTCTTGGCCTTCTTCTTGGTGTCACATCGGAAGCATGATCTCGTAGTACCATTTCCTTCAGATAACCCTCTGTTCTTTCCGATGACGCGGCCACGATACGTAGCAATTTTCGCTCATATACCTTGTAAAACAACCGTCTTATGCTTAGTCGTTTCACGATTTTTTCTGCTTGATTTGTGCTGTTTCAAGGAACAATGAAATCGGATTGCGTATTCACCCATTCAGTGAAAACCCTTATTTAATGAATAATTTTTCAAATATAAATGGCAATTTAATAAAATTCTCATTAACTAATATGCTGAATTTAGCGTAAGAAAACCTAGAGCCCAGAGATTGCCTAAATCAGCATTAAGCTGCATTCGTTCCATCAGCTCATACTTGATCAGAGAAAATTTCCCCACGAATTTCCGCTGGTCGTCAGCGGCTGTTCATGGCATGTTGCTACAGCTGTTTATGAGGTCTGCTTCGAACTCCGGTGGTGCCGGGTTCGATTCCGCTCGAGATCAATCTTTCCTTATTCGTCAGAGCGTCGAACTCAAAACGAGAGGTCCCGAGTTCAAACTCCAGTCGGTGTGGAGTCATTGGCCCTTCTTCATTCCGAGGTCGATATTCGATTATCACTCAATGAGAATAAAACAGAAGGCTACACGCTACGCTTGCTACATGGCCGTAGACTTTACCTTGAAAAAATAAGGCTCTCCTGGGTGATGACACAGAAATAAAGATCAGCACGCACATAATCAATTTTATGAAAAGAAACGTGTCAAAAGAGCCCAATTATTAAGTGAATGAAGACCGACATTTCAACATCTATCAACTTTCCCGCTGTTCGTGCTTTGTTCGCGAAATGACACTATCACACTCCGAACATACACAGCGATTTACACCTTGTTTGTGCTGCAGAGAAAAGCTTCGTAACGATTCTCGACTACAAATTGAAGACTACAGAGTACATGCGCTACAGGTAAAGGCGAATACGGTTGCTTTCAACTTGAACAGGACGGTGAGGAGAAAAATGACGTTTCTAATGCGAGACAGAAGACAACAACAGATCATAACAAGAATGCTCTAAGTGTTACCTAAGGTGCTGATCTTTTCGCATCCACTGGCACCGCAAAGTGCGTCGAACCGGCCGAATAGGTCACTCAACAGGTCGACCAACTGTTCGGCCGACTTGTTGGTGCTCATCTTTGTGAAGCCGGCGATGTCCGCGAACAAAATGCTGACGTCGGACATGCGATTCATGTTAAACGGCCGGAAGAGACTGGCCCTAGTGGTCCGCGATGAATCGGAGCTGGGCCGTTGCTTTAACTCGTTGCTCTCCTTCATTAACTCTTCGGCCATCAGGCGTGGCATTACCGACTGGATCATACGGTCCTTGAACTGTTTCTCGATCTCGAGGTCGTGGCGGACCAGTAGCGACTGGCCACTTTTCAGGAACGTCTTTCGACTACGCACCTCGGACAGAATGAAGATGTGCACGCCAAGGATATGCGCCATTAGATGGGCGCCAAGCCGGATGCCCGGAAAGTAGGGCACACTGGCGACATACATACCCGAACACTCGTACGTGACGCTAAACACCATCGCGAACAGCATGCACAGGTAGAGAGGCAGAGGAACGACCGTGTACACGAACAACACCACCTCGATGGACAACGCGAACAGGCCAAAGGCAGTGATCAACGGCGATGGCAGCAGAAACAGAGCGCACGACACAAAGCAGATCAACAACAAGCACAACACGGAGATGGACCCGTAGAAGCGCATGTAGATCTTGTCGCATAATGTCAAGGCAAATATGGCTGCAAGCAACGATATGACCAGCACGATGCACAGCACGTAATAAGAGATGTCTGCCAATGGGTACAGACTGATGAAGTACAACAGCCAGATGGTGGCAAATGTTATGCTATAGGCGACACCAGACCGGAAGCGTAACCTCAACTGCGGGAACGCGCACTGCCAGTACTGGCCTTCGAGCAGTGGCGAAGTGAACTCGGGGTTCCAGCGCCAGTAGGATGAACGCTCGAAAAACACCAACGGATCGCGGTGCTTCAGCTTCTGACGGTATTCGTACGGCCGAGGGTCGGTCGAATAAGGCAGAGAGGTGTTGAGCATGGGAACCGCCGCTTCGAAGTTGCACTTCTTTCCGCTTTCAGTCGTTCCCTTCATGATCACTACGAAATCGATCGCATCTGTCTTTCAAAACAGTTCGACGCGAACAACTTCCACTACTGCTACTGCCTTTGTGCATCCAAACCTGCCAGCAGGCACCGGCTATGACATGGTCACTAGTGACTGATGTCTGGTCGTAGCTTCGTCTAGATTGCGCCTCACAAAACACCAGTCTGGAAGAATTCGGTTTGCCAAGCCTTCAGCGACACGTCTTCATTCCTCATCTTCAGATGAGGTGCCCTAAAAGAGACCTCTCTATCAAATATCTTACAAAAACAACAAAATCAACGTGGCACACCGATCTTACTTATTAAGATTACAGAACTGGAAGAAGCAGAAAAATGCTGCATTTCAAACCGTCGGTATAAATGCAACAATTAAACTGGTAATTGACAGGAGAAAAGGCAAAAAACGTCTGAATCCTTCAGACGCCATTCATCTTTAAAAGTCAGTGCAGTGAACATTTATTAGGTCCATTTTCATTAAAGTTCATCAACTGCAGAACAATGAGAGGAACTCGAACCGACAAAATGGTGTCTACCCAAGGGTAGCCATCATTTCACCAGTTACATCATAAATGGAAGTTTGCTGTAATCTTAAAGACTGTGGGTGCGGCAACTTCAGAAGTTGCAATAATGAATCCGAACTCCGTCAGCGGATACCAGTACTCGACTATCAAGATCCTTCATTGTAGCCCAGCTATCTGACGCTAAGTGAGGAAGTCTCGTTTTTAATTTGTCCCAAGATGCAACAATTTTAGAACAAATATTCATAAAGTCCCCCTAAAAAATATATTGTTCGCCTAAATTCTAGACAGTGGACAATGATCCAAGTAACGATAGAACCAACTGCCTTGTCTTGAAACATACTTTTCAACCGGCACGGTAGTCAAAAAGAACGCAGACAAACGCGGAAATAGTTGTAATAAATATTTGTAACAATGACACCACATTCATCATAAGAAATACACAGCTGCTAATACTGATTGTAACGCCTACGTAGGCGGCGATATGTCTTCTTTCTCTTCTTTACGTTCGGTCCCACGCAGGATAATGATGGACGGTGACTTGCAGTGGCATCGTATATGCTGACGGTTACGGACATTCGTCTGATGCTAACGACTTTACCATAAAGAGACTAGAATTCGAAACTGGAATAAGTGATGAACAGTCAAATCAAGACAGTTGATTTGGAGGGAATGATTCGACCGCTAGCTTAAAAACCAACAATCAATGTTTGCCTTTTTGGAGATAAAAGAAAATGATAGTAAGAGCTCATCTCTTCGAATTGTACAAACACCCAGTGGGCAACAATTCAACATCGTTCTTCACCAAATGTGAGACTAATCAAGAAAATCGATGTTCAAACAGGTAAAGATGGTCAATAAACCAGGTAGACGAACGGTTTGCATTACACATGAAAGGTCAACATACCTCAAAACTACTGAGCACATCATGTCCAAACAGAAATGCTAGAAAATCATTTCAACAAAGCTGAACAGCTTATCAACTGCTTCCCTGCAAGTGCTTCAGAGTCATTTCGAGACAAACGTGGGAAAACTGTCGATGACTGAAATGAACTCGAACTACCCAATAAGGACGAAAAATCCCTCAAGATCAATTGATAAAAAGCGCCGGCCTAAGAATACTACAGAATATAAGTATACCAAGAATGGTACTATTAGCTGTGGTGAAGAAGACTGCAAAAAACGCCAAACAATAATTGCTTCGCCGTGGAACAGATGGAAATTTGAAGTGACTGTCTCTTGGAAACGTACATATATGAACTATGGATCATAGATGTGAGATCGAAAATACTTAGGCATAACGTCTACCTCCTTAAGACTAATGGATTTGGAACACCTGAACAGAAATTCTACAAAGTCGAATTACCCGGGACGAGTAGCTATAGCTGCAAGAAGCAAATAGCCGAACAGCTGATAAACAGTGATCTTCGTCGCCGTATATCAAGCCCAGATCCAAAACGATTTCGAGGCATATTAAACAGTCACGGGTTTAATCAATCATAGCTGAACTCTTCACAGCTAAACACTAGATCCAAACTGGCAATAACTCGGAGGCAAATCGAAACGTTGAAAAAAATGATCTTGAAGTGGAGTCCTCGAATTTCGCGATCGGTCAGCTACTATTACAAGGAGAAGAGGTCAGTGGAACAAATAAGGCAAGCACGTGGGAATACCGTTAAGTTAATAGGACAGCAAATGGTCGTTTAGTCGGTCATTTACTGCTCAACTGGCAAGCAAACAGTGGCCAATGGCAGAACGAAAAGGACGAATGAACGATGTCTGAGCAACAGAGAAAAGCACAAGACTGCGTCAGACATAGTCCAACAGCTTCTCTCCTCATAATAATTAAGTCGACCAAGTTTCAGGGTCTTCGCTTTCCAAATGGCTAAGAAATCGAACAGCCGTTGTTCAAAGCTGATGTGTCGGCTTTTACAGAAAGACCGCTGAAACGAAATGGCATGAAAAGTACGTCACTACACGGTTCTTGTCACTTCTAAATCAACCAGCTGTTCACAAGACGAACGCGAACATCAGAGCTCCTTTCACTCCTAATGAACATGGAAATTCAGAAAATTTCGTATGATCAAATAATCATGTTACCCTCACAATCAGTCATCCACTGGTAGCTGAAAAGCAAAAAGAATAGACGGATGACCGAATCCGTAGTAGCACCCGAGATTTTGTCGTTTCCGTTAAATTCCGCAGTTATACCAATTATATATTCCGCAGATAAAAGAAAAGTTTGCATTCGCTGGAATGTCGATACCCATTACACGTACAGATGAGCACTGTTCGTGGTACCTTCCCTTCGTGTAGCACTGTCTAATGTCAACCAGGAATTTCGGATTTTTTTTGAAGTCAGTATCTGCAGTAATGCGATCGCAGCACGGTGTAACTTAATGCTTCCTTCCTGTTATACTGTATTCATTTTTTTCATATCAAGAAGGAAGAAAGGTGGAGAATGTTCGACCCGGAATCCGAACCTGCGGTTTTTTGACTAGGAATCCAGCGGGAACTGCAAGCTGAACTAACGAGAACTCGTGTGCTTAGCGTTGGTAATCCGTACTTTCAGGTACCATATTTCGATTGACCAGTTGCTCACAGGTGCTTTCCCATCTCACATGTCACGGTCTTTCACGATATTTTGGTGGAGGACAAGACAACAATCTTTACACGATGCTCCTGTTCTGCGCGGTGAAAGTTCATCAAGGCTTTATAATGCACCAACCATCTTTCGGTTTGTCTAGGAGAGTTTCTAAACCGCAAGAATATGTATGTTTCCTACACTGGCCATTTCTGGTTCCCCTTAATTGCATGAAAGTAATGGGAGGAGCGGTGATCACCATTTCCATGCTACCAGCCAGCCATGTGCGGCAAGCATAATGTATAGTGTTCTGTTTCCTTTCCAAACAGTGGTACTCATTTATGAACCTAGGAAAGAGGAAAGGTGTGCAACAACGACCAGGCCTCGAATCCGAGACGTCTACCAACTAAGCAACCTCAGCCTGAAGCAACTGTGTAGTTAAGACAACGATTGCCGTCCACCGGAATTGAACCCGGCATGAAGTTCCAAGCCGAACTTTTACGCATTGTACCATTGCTGAGGTACTAAAAAACAAGTATCTCATTGTTTAAGGCAAATGTAAATTAGCCTAACATCTGTGAGCTCTGCACAGTTTTAATTCGTAAAATCATACAACTTTTGTGGCAAAATCTTGGAGAAGTCTGTATCCGGAAGTTAATCGAACAAGGGTGATTATAACAATAACAACAATGAGAATTATACAATTGACAAGGTATAGGCGTAACGATGTAAAGCAATAAAATCGAAAGTAATAACATCAATCATATATGCCTAATCGGTAAGAGACCATTACCCAAACCGAAAGATTTTCTTCGGCACATCTGTTAATGGCATGAGGTTGTCAAACTTGGCTTGCCGGTCGCATGACGTCATGCGGAAAGGGGATAATATTCATCCATGGATTACATTCTGATGAGTAGGCAACGATGCGCGGAAAAGTCAGTATTACAGTAAGTTTCGCAAGGTAACCGAACAACAGGAGTCGCATGTTATCCCCGACAACATGCATAAGAGGACGTGCAATAACTCAACTTTTGAAACTGCACCACAGAGTGAAGAACTGTCTGTGACAAGGCACACGTCAAATATACCGTTGTATGTTGTTCGACTGCAACATGACCTAAGTCTCAGCACAGAAGAGCACTGTCGGCATCAAGTAGGACTTGCATATTCAAATCTTGATTGTACTGAGACGGTGATGTGTCAAGAAGTTGACATGCGGCGGGACTCCATGTAGGAAGAAACGAAAATCTCCGATCTGCACCGGATGTCATGCGACTGTCCACTTTCAACACAGATGAACGTATGGACGTCATGGATGATGTTCACAACGCCGTATTCTCCCGGTTCAACCTAAGTTTTGCACATTCGCCTTCCACCAAAAGACACTAAAAATAAATGGACACTAACTCCGCCATGGCCGGTCCCAAGCCCAGATGATAAAGGAGGAGGGATGGAGACCGTGGCAAATATACGCAAAATTCAGCCACCTGCCACTCATGGTATTGACGCCATCGAAAATTATACCCGCTCGGTCGTCGCGGAGGTAACCAAGGGCGGCGCAGGCTGGTGGGGGACTGCGGCAGACTGCGAAAACTCGGCGATCAGAACTTGCTCATTCGCCTCTGCCAGCCGGGGGCGTGGCAGCACAACGACGGCTGACGAAGAAACCAGTCAGCAGCGGAGTCTCTAGCCGTTCTGAACGGAGGACGCAGCCAGCGCGACGCCATTACAGCACGTCAGAAAAGGCTCCACAAAACGACACCACCAGTGGGAGCTTAAAGTCAGAAATTAAAACATATCCTCACTCAGAGGAAAAGAACATGAACTAGTTGATCAGGCCACGAAGTACACTGTTGGACTCTCGTCAATAAAACGCCCAGGCACTGGACTCCTGAACCTCAATGGATGGAAGCTGTTCTACTCAGGCGTCGATATCACGACTCGCGCTCAGGCTGGTGTTCACGTTCTGGTAGAACCCAACCTTGCCGATAGAATAATCGATTGGAAGCCTATCAGCGGAAGGGCGGTGATCCTCCGACTGAAGCTACAACAGGCTAAATCGATGACCTTGGTACTGGTCTGTGCGCCCAATTTGAAAGGAAAATGAGACCTTCCTTGAGGAAGTGCAGTGTGCTCTGTCTAAAGTGCCG